AGATGAAGGAGGCAAGTACCACACAGGTTATGCTGTGACCTCGGAATTTGAAATTCTACAAGCAGGAGCATTACCACCAACTTTATCTGCCCAGGAAGCAGAGCTTCTAGCCCTCACTACAGCGTGTAAGATGGCAGAAGGTAAAATAGCCAATATTTACACAGACTCAAGGTACGCCTTTGGAGTAGCTAATGACTTCGGTATCATCTGAAAAGCCAGAGGCTGGAACACCGGTAAAACATGGTCCAGCCATCAAGGATTTAATGGATGCACTGCTCCTGCCTGACCAAGTGGCTGTTTTGAAGGTTAAAGCACATGGTAAATTGAATTCTGAAGAGGCCAGAGGGAACCACTTGGCGGACATAGCTGCCAAAGAAGCAGTGAAAAACCAACGAAAAATGTCTGAGATGGCTGAAGAGGAGAGTGAGACCTCAGTACAGATACTTTTGGCGGTGCATGTGCCATCTGACAAGCAATACCTGATCTCTATGCAAATGGATGCTTATACAGAAGAAAGGTTGGAATGGATCGATAAAGGAGCGGACTACGATGGAGAATTGTATTCGATGAAAGGAAAAACTTGTTTACCAAAACATACAGTATGTATCCAGCAGTTGTCCAATGGGCGCATGGACATGCACATCTCTCTAAGAACTTAATGAACTCATTGATCAGCAAGTATTACTGGGCTCCAGGGATAACCATTTTAACTAGAAATTACTACGCCTCGTGTGTAGTATGTGCAAAATGCAACCCGGGGAGGATGGAAAAGACACCGCAGAAACATCTGGCAAAACCCCTCTATCCATTCCAGAGGGTACAGATTGATCATATACAGATGCCAAAAAGTGGCCGATATGAATATGTTCTAGTGGTGGTGGACATGTTCTCTGGTTGGCCGGAAGCCTATGCTGTTACAAACATGACAGCCAAGACCACGGCTAAGAAACTACTGAGTGAGGTAGTCTGTAGATTTGGGGTCCCAGAGGTGATAGAGAGTGATCAGGGTCCAGCCTTCACAGCAACCCTTACAAAAAAGATTTGGACAGCACTGGGGGTTCAGTTGGCCTACACACCCCATATCACCCTCAAAGCAGTGGGAAGGTAGAAAGGATGAATGGGACTCTAAAAAACAGGATGCTAAAGATGGCCCAAGAGACTAACATGAGTTGGCCAGACAGTTTGCCCATTGCTCTGTTTAGTGTCAGACACACCCCCTGGGGGAAGCATGCCCTTTCCCCTTATGAAATTTTGTTTAGCTCAGCCCCCCAGACTTGGCTGTTACTTTCCACAACAGTTGCAATTACAATCTGATGTGTTAACTGATTATGTGACTGCATTATCACGTGAATTAACCCGTATCCATGTCCAAGTGTTTTCTACATTCCAGATTCTGAGTCAGATACAGGAACTCACAGCCTATTACCCAGAGATTGGGTATTAGTAAAGACATTTATGAGGAAACATTCCCTTGAGCCAAGATATGATGGTCCATTCCAAGTTCTGCTGACCACAGCCCCTTCTGTCAAGGTGGCCAGGAAGAACACTTGGATACACGCCTCCCACTGCAAGAAAGTCCCAACCCCTGAGTCTGACAGAGGCTCAACAGGTGGCAATCACCAAAATAGGTGACACCACTATATTTTGGTACAACTCATCCAACACTCATGTAGCTATTTTCACCTTTGATTTCTGTAGTATAGATCCCATGTGGTGCTATGACCGTGATCCATATGATCTTGACACAACGAGCATGTTCCGATAGTAGTGACCAGATATATATATGTGTCATGGATGATTACTGGGGACCAAAAGATTAGAATCAGATTGGAAGGGATTTGGGCTGGTGAGTATGCTCTTGAAAAGGTCATTATGCCTCTCCATATCCTAACAGAAGATACCCCTGACACATACACTGACTCAGCATCTAGGCACAGGAGGAAGCAGACAGCTCCCTCCGGAAGTTTTGACCCATATGTACAGTTGCAAGAAAAAGTATGTGAACCCCTTGGGATTACGTGGAGTTTTGCATGAATTGAGCATAAAATGTGCTCTGAACGTCATCTAAGTCACAACAATAGAAGAACACAGTCTGCTGAACATAATACTACACAAACATTAGATGTTACCATGGTTTAATTGCACATAACATGTAAACATTCATAGTGCAGGGAGGAAAAAGTATGTGAGGCCCTAGCTTAATGATTTCTCCTAGAGCTAATTGGAGCCAGGAGTGAGCCAACCTTGACTCCAATCAGTGTGATGATATTGGATGTGTTGCTGACAGCTGTCCAGCCCTTAAAAAACACACACCTGTTTTGGGTTTACTGGTTTCAAGAAGCACTGTCTGATGTGAACCATGCCTCGCAGAAAAGAGCTTTCAGAAGACCTACGATCAAGAATTTTTGACTTGCATGAAGCTGGAAAGGGTTACAAAAGTATCTCCAAAAGCCTTGATGTTCATGTGTCCACGGTAAGACAGACTGTCTACAAATGGAGAAAGTTTAGCACTGTTGCTACTCTCCCTAGGCGTGGTCGTCCTGTAAAAATGACTGCAAGAGCACAGTGCAGAATGCTGCATGAGGTAAAGAAGAATCCCAGAGTGTCAGCTAAAAACCTACAGAAATCTCTGGCACATGCTAACATTTTTGTTTACACATCTACAATAAGGAAAACATTAAACAAGAATGGAGTACATGGGAGCACACCACGGAGGAAGCCATTGCTGTCCAAAAAGAATATTGCAGCACATTTGAAGTTTGGAAAAGAGCACCAACCCCCTGGACGTTCCACAGCACTACTGGCAAAATATACTGTGGACAGATGAAACCAAGATTGAGTTGTTTGGGAAGAACACACAACACTATGTGTGGAGAAAAAAAGGCACAGCACACCAACATCAAAACCTCATCCCCACTGTAAAACATGGCGGAGGGAGCATCATGGTTTGGAGCTGCTTTGCTGTCTCAGGGCCTGGACGGATTGTTGTCATTGATGGGAAAATGAATTCCAGAGTTTATCAAGACATTTTGCAGGAAAACATACGATCATCTGTCCGCCAACTGAAGCTCCGCAGAGGATGGGTGATGCAACAGGACAATGACCCAAAGCATACAAGTAATTCAACAAAACAATGGCTGCAACAGCACAGAATACGCCTTCTGGAGTGGCCCAGTCAGAGTCCTGACCTCAACCCGATTGAAATGCTGTGGCATGACCTTAAGAGAGCGATTCACACCAGACATCCCAAGAATATTGCTACACTGAAACAGTTTTGTGAAGAGGAGTGGTCCAAAATTACTCAAGATCGTTGTGCAGGTCTGATCTGCAACTACAGGAAACGCTTGGTTGAGGTTATTGCTGCCAAAGGAGGGTCAACCAGTTATTAAGTCCAAAGGTTCACATACTTTTTCCTCCCTGCACTGTGAATGTTTACATGTTATGTGCAATTAAACCATGGCAACATCTAATGTTTGTGTAGTATTATGTTCAGCAGACTGTGTTCTTCTGTTGTGACTTAGATGACGTTCAGAGCACATTTTATGCCCACTTCATGCAAAACTCCACGTAATCCCAAGGGGTTCACATACTTTTTATTGCAACTGTATATATAGATGCCATTGGAGTCCCAAGGGGGGTGCCTAATGAATTCAAAGCCAGAGACCAAGTAAAAGCAGGCTTTGAATTCCTGATTCCCATAATAATGGTTAATAAAAATGTAGATTGGATAAATTACATATACTACAACCAACAGAGGTTTGTGAATTACACCAGAGATGCCTCCAAGGAATCGTTGACCAGTTAGCCCCTACATCCTACATGACATTCCAGAATAGGATGGCTCTGGACATAATTTTAGCGGAAAAAGGAGGTGTCTGTAAAATTATAGAAGGAACTGGAACATGTTGTACATATATTCCTGACAATACTGGCCCGAATGGTAAGGTTACTCTGGCTATAAAGAAATTAGAAGATTTGTCAGTGGAGCTGAAAAAAAAACTCAGGTATCTCAGACCCGTGGGATCAATATTTTAGCTGGATGAGTGGGTGGCAAAAAGTGCTCGCCCAAATAGGTGTAACGGTATTAATAATTCTAGTTCTTTTAGCTCTGATTGTATGTTGTATTCTACCATTTGTAAAGAAGTTAATAAGCAAGGCTGTAGACAACAGCACACCTATATTTCTCCATCAAGAAGAGGAGGACCCTTTTGTGATGGAAGAGGATAAACCTTTTCACTCCTCTACGGTCCCTCCCCGTCAACAGCAATTTCACAATTTTGTAGGGATAGCATCTGACTTCTTTATGTACAAAGTCTGTGGCAAGGGAGGTGATGAAATAGTCATCACCTGTCTAACGTACAGCATAAAAGAGTTCCAAGGTACATAAGGACAGATGAGCTAGGCTTTATAGGGACAGAGGAAAATAGTCATTTTAAGGGGGGACTGTGATGGATTTGGTAAAATGCCTATTCTGTTTCCTGTTTAAAATATACATTTTATACATATTTACTTTTATATTTTTTCATATTTCTAAATATATGTGTTGTGCGTATATATTTTTGTCTGCTGGGCTTTGCAGTCCTCCTTAACTTGTTTTGCTCAGAGCGATGTTTTCAACCCCTCCCTTCGCACTGAGAGGACCTTATATTTGGGCTTTGAGTATGTGAGGGGGAGTGAAAAAGATAACGGGTGAGAAGCAAGCTTCAAGTTTCTACATTTCTCCTATATTTCAGCCAAGCAAAATGTGCCTTTTAGAATGTGACTGTATATACGTAATAGTGACGTATACTCTATTGTTTTCTATGTATAAAAGGTTAAGCACTGCAATAAACAGAGATGAGATGATGTGAAAGTGGTTGTACTGGACAGTTGTCCGTGTAATTATTTTCCGGCGTGCACGCAATCCATATCTCAAAATTAGGAGCAGCAGCAGAAATCCTACCCTGAGCCCGATTGTGGTTTGCACAACCTTTTTACCTCAATATCATGTGATTCAGGTGTTCCAATCCCCTCCATATCATGTGATTCATGTGTTCCAATCCCCTCCCAATCATGTGATTCAGGTGTTCCAATCCCCTCCATATCATGTGATTCAGGTGTTCCAATCCCCTCCATGGACACAGGTGTATACAATCAAGCCCCTAGGCATGCAGACTGCTTCTTCAAACATTGGTGAAAGAATGGGTCGCTCTCAGGAGCTCAGTGACTCCAAGTGTGGTCCCGTGATAGGTGGCCACCTGTGCAATAAGTCCATCCGTGACATTTCCTGGCTACTAAATATTCCACGCTCAACTGTTAGTGGGATTATAACATAGTGGGAGCAACTGGGACCACAGCCACCAAGTGGTAGGCCATGTCACATGAGAGGGCGGGGTCAGCGCATGCTGAAGCGCACAGTGCGCAGAAGTCGCCAACTGTCTGCAGAGTCAATAGCTAAAGACCTCCAAACTTGGTGTGGCCTTCAGATGAGCCCAACAACAGTGCGTAGAGAGCTTCATGGAATGGGTTTGCATGACCGAGCAGCTGCATCCAAGCCTTCCATCACCAAGTGCAATGCAAAGCGTCGGCTGCCGTGGTGTAAAGCATGCCGCCACTGGACTCTAGAGCAGAGGAGATGTGTTCTCTGCAGTGACCAATCACGCTTCTCTGTCTGGCAATCCGATGGACATATGTCTGGGTTTGGCGGTGGCCAGGAGAACAGTACTTGCCTGACTGCATTGTGTCAAGTGTAAAGTTTGGTGAAGGGGGGATTATGGTGTGGGGGTGTTCCTCAGGGGTTGGGCTTGGCCCCCTAGTTCCAGTGAAGAGAACTCTTAAGGCGACATTTGGACAATTTCATGCTCCCAACGTTGTGGGAAGAGTTTGGGGATGGCCCCTTCCTGTTCCAACATGACTGCGCACCAGTGCACAAAGCAAGGTCCATAAACACATGGAGGAGCCAGTTTGGGGTAGAGGAACTTGACTGGCCTGCACAGAGTCCTGACCTCAACCCCATAGAACACTTTTGGTGTACAGAACGTATCATCCTTATCTAGCGATGACTCCTATGGTGTACGGAACGTATCATCCTCATCTAGAGATGACCCCTATGGTGTACGGAACGTATCATCCTCATCTAGAGATGTCTCCTACGGTGTACGGGACGTATCATCCTCATCTAGAGGTGTCTCCTACGGCGTACGGAACGTATCATCCTCATCTAGAGATGACTCCTGCGGTGTACGGAACGTATCATCCTCATCTAGAGATGACTCCTACGGTGTACAGAACGTATCACCCTTATCTAGAGATGGCTCCTACGGTGTATGGAACGTATCATCCTCATCTAGAGGTGTCTCCTACGGTGTACGGAACGTATCATCCTCACCTAGAGATGACTCCTACGGTGTACGGAACGTACCATCTTTACCTAGAGATGTCTCCTACGGTGTACAGAACGTATCATCCTCATCTAGAGATGTCTCTTATGGTGTACGGAACGTATTATCCTCATCTAGAGATGTCTCCTACGGTGTACGGAACGTATCATCCTCACCTAGAGATGACTCCTACGGTGTACGGAACGTATCATCCTCACCTAGAGATGGCTCCTACTGTGTACGGAACGCATCATCCTCATCTAGAGGTGTCTCTTACGGTGTACGGAACGCATCATCCTCATCTAGAGGTGTCTCCTACGGTGTACGGAACGTATCATCCTCATCTAGAGGTGTCTCCTACGATGTACGGAACGCATCATCCTCATCTAGAGGTGTCTCCTACGGTGTACGGAACGCATCATCCTCATCTAGAGGTGTCTCCTACGGTGTACGGAACACATCATCCTCATCTAGAGGTGTCTCCTACGGTGTACGGAACGTATCATCCTCATCTAGAGGTGTCCTACGGTGTACGGAACGTATCATCCTCATCTAGAGGTGTCCTACGGTGTACGGAACGTATCATCCTCACCTAGAGATGACTCCTATGGTGTACGGAACGTATCATCCTCACCTAGAGATGACTCCTACGGTGTACGGAACGCATCATCCTCATCTAGAGATTACTCCTACGGTGTACGGAACGTATCATCCTCACCTAGAGATGACTCCTACGGTGTACGGAACGTATCATCCTCACCTAGAGATGACTCCTACGGTGTACGGAACGTATCATCCTCACCTAGAGATGGCTCCTACTGTGTACGGAACGCATCATCCTCATCTAGAGGTGTCTCTTACGGTGTACGGAACGCATCATCCTCATCTAGAGGTGTCTCCTACGGTGTACGGAACGTATCATCCTCATCTAGAGGTGTCTCCTACGGTGTACGGAACGCATCATCCTCATCTAGAGGTGTCTCCTACGGTGTAAGGAACGCATCATCCTCATCTAGAGGTGTCTCCTACGGTGTACGGAACGTATCATCCTCATCTAGAGGTGTCCTACGGTGTACGGAACGTATCATCCTCATCTAGAGGTGTCCTACGGTGTACGGAACGTATCATCCTCACCTAGAGATGACTCCTATGGTGTACGGAACGTATCATCCTCACCTAGAGATGACTCCTACGGTGTACGGAACGCATCATCCTCATCTAGAGATTACTCCTACGGTGTACGGAACGTATCATCCTCACCTAGAGATGACTCCTACGGTGTACGGAACGTATCATCCTCACCTAGAGATGACTCCTACGGTGTACGGAACGCATCATCCTCACCTAGAGATTACTCCTACGGTGTACGGAACGCATCATCTTCATCTAGAGATGACTCCTACGGTGTACGGAACGTATCGTCCTCAGCTACAGATGTCTCCTACGGTGTACGGAACGTATCATCTTCACCTAGAGATGACTCCTACGGTGTACGGAACGTATCATCCTCAGCTAGAGATGTCTCCTACGGTGTACGGAACGTATCGTCCTCAGCTAGAGATGACTCCTACGGTGTACGGAACGTATCATTCTCACCTAGAGATGTCTCCTACGGTGTACGGAACGTATCATCCTCACCTAGAGATGGCTCCTACTGTGTACGGAACGCATCATCCTCATCTAGAGGTGTCTCCTACGGTGTACGGAACGCATCATCCTCATCTAGAGGTGTCTCCTACGGTGTACGGAACGTATCATCCTTACCTGGAGATGTCTCCTACGGTGTACGGAACGTATCATCCTTACCTAAAGATGACTCCTAAGATGTACGGAACGCATCATCCTCATCTAGAGGTGTCTCTTACGGTGTACGGAACGCATCATCCTCATCTAGAGGTGTCTCCTACGGTGTACGGAACGCATCATCCTCATCTAGAGGTGTCTCCTACGGTGTACGGAACGCATCATCCTCACCTAGAGATGACTCCTACGGTGTACGGAACTCATCATCCTCATCTAGAGATGACTCCTACGGTGTACGGAACTCATCATCCTCATCTAGAGATTACTCCTACGGTGTATGGAACGCATCATCTTCATCTAGAGATGACTCCTACGGTGTACGGAACGTATCATCTTCATCTAGAAATGTCTCCTACGGTGTACGGAACGTATCATCCTCAGCTAGAGATGTCTCCTACGGTGTACGGAACATATCGTCCTCAGCTAGAGATGTCTCCTACGGTGTACGGAACGTATCATTCTCACCTAGAGATGTCTCCTACGGTGTACGGAACGTATCATCCTCACCTAGAGATGTCTCCTACGGTGTACGGAACTTATCATTCTCACCTACAGATGTCTCCTACGGTGTACGGAACGTATCATCCTTACCTGGAGATGTCTCCTACGGTGTACGGAACGTATCATCCTTACCTAAAGATGACTCCTACGATGTACGGAACGCATCATCCTCATCTAGAGGTGTCTCTTACGGTGTACGGAACGCATCATCCTCATCTAGAGGTGTCTCCTACGGTGTACGGAACGTATCATCCTCATCTAGAGGTGTCCTACGGTGTACGGAACGTATCATCCTCATCTAGAGGTGTCCTACGGTTTACAGAACGTATCATCCTCACCTAGAGATGACTCCTATGGCGTACGGAACGCATCATCCTCACCTAGAGATGACTCCTACGGTGTACGGAACGTATCATCCTCACCTAGAGATGACTCCTACGGTGTACGGAACGTATCATCCTCACCTAGAGATGACTCCTACGGTGAACGGAACGCATCATCCTCACCTAGAGATGACTCCTACGGTGTACGGAACGCATCATCCTCACCTAGAGATGACTCCTATGGTGTACGGAACGCATCATCCTCATCTAGAGATGACTCCTACGGTGTACGGAACGCATCATCTTCATCTAGAAATGTCTCCTACGGTGTACGGAACGTATCATCCTCAGCTAGAGATGTCTCCTACGGTGTACGGAACGTATCATCCTCAGCTAGAGATGTCTCCTACGGTGTACGGAACGTATCGTCCTCAGCTAGAGATGTCTCCTATGGTGTACGGAACGTATCATTCTCACCTAGAGATGTCTCCTACGGTGTACGGAACTTATCATTCTCACCTACAGATGTCTCCTACGGTGTACGGAACGTATCATCCTTACCTGGAGATGTCTCCTACGGTGTACGGAACGTATCATCCTTACCTAAAGATGACTCCTACGATGTACGGAACGCATCATCCTCATCTAGAGGTGTCTCTTACGGTGTACGGAACACATCATCCTCATCTAGAGGTGTCTCCTACGGTGTACGGAACGTATCATCCTCATCTAGAGGTGTCCTACGGTGTACGGAACGTATCATCCTCATCTAGAGGTGTCCTACGGTTTACAGAACGTATCATCATCCTCACCTAGAGATGACTCCTACGGCGTACGGAACGCATCATCCTCACCTAGAGATGACTCCTACGGTGTACGGAACGTATCATCCTCACCTAGAGATGACTCCTACGGCGTACGGAACGTATCATCCTCACCTAGAGATGACTCCTACGGTGAACGGAACGCATCATCCTCACCTAGAGATGACTCCTACGGTGTACGGAACGCATCATCCTCACCTAGAGATGACTCCTATGGTGTACGGAACGCATCATCATCTAGAGATGACTCCTACGGTGTACGGAACGCATCATCTTCATCTAGAAATGTCTCCTACGGTGTACGGAACGTATCGTCCTCAGCTAGAGATGTCTCCTACGGTGTACGGAACGTATCGTCCTCAGCTAGAGATGTCTCCTATGGTGTACGGAACGTATCATTCTCACCTAGAGATGTCTCCTACGGTGTACGGAACGTATCATCCTCACCTAGAGATGTCTCCTACGGTGTACGGAACGTATCATCCTTACCTGGAGATGTCTCCTACGGTGTACGAAACGTATCATCCTTACCTAAAGATGATTCCTACTGTGTACGGAACGTATCATCCTTATCTGGAGATGACTCCTACGGTGTAGGGAACGTATCAGCCTTACCTAGAGATGATTCCTCTCACCTTTACCTCCTATCCGGGCCATGGGACAGGGAAGGAAGACACCAGAGAGGAGAGGACCCTGGAACAGCAAGTCATCAGGAACGTATTTCAGAAACACATCCACCACAAGTACACAAATGATACCAGCCTGAGAGTCATCACAGAAGTCTTTTATACAGAAATAATAGGAAGATTTCAGCCCATAAAGAGGCCTAGTGTTTACAGAGAACAATGAGCTAGAACAATAACTGGACATACAGAAAGATATTTTGTCTTTAACCACCAAACTACCCTAGATTCTAAGTTCAGGTCAAGATGGGTCCTCTCCACTCTTCTCCTTTGTGGAAAAAGGAGTCACAAGCAGCGTTCATGTGGGCGGTAGGTAAATTGGAGATCCTGTTGTGTTTGTCCTCAGCGTCTGTGTGGATCCATTAATTGGTGTCACAGAATTCATTGATGGAAACATGGCAGAGGGTGCTCACCCGGGTAGCTTCCTGGGTGGAAACGTGGTAGAGAGAGTTCACTCAGGTGGCTTCTTAGGTGGAAATATGGTAGAGGGAGTTCAGTTGTGTGGCTTCTTAGGTGGAAACATGGCAGAGGGTGCTCAACCGGGTGGCTTCTTAGATGGAAACGAGGTAAAGGGTGCTCACTAAGGTGGCTTCTTAGGTGGAAACATGGTAAAGGGAGCTCACTCAGGTGGCTTCTTAGATGGAAATGTGGTAGGAGCTCACGCAGGTGGTTTCTTAGGTGGAAATATGGTAGAGGGAGCTCACTCGGGTGGATTTTTGGTGGAACATGGTAGAGGGAGCTCTCGTGTGGATTTTTGGTGGAACATGGTAGAGGGAGCTCTCGTGTGGATTTTTGGTGGAACATGGTAGAGGGAGCTCACTTGTGTGGCTTCGTAGGTGGAAACATGGTAGAGGGAGCTCACTTGTGTGGCTTCTTAGGTGGAAACATGGTAGAGGGAGCTCACTTGGGTGGACTTTTGGTGGAACATGGTAGAGAGAGCTCACTTGGGTGGATTTTAGGTGGAAACATGGAGAGGGAGCTCACTCGGATGGATTTTAGGTGGAAACATGGTAGAGGGAGCTCACTTGGGTGACTTCTTAGGTAGAAACGTGGTAGAGGGAGCTCACTCGGGTGTATTTTTGGTGGAACATGGTAGAGGGAGCTTACTCGGGTGGATTTTTGGTGGAACATGGTAGAGGGAGCTCACTCGGGTGGATTTTAGGTGGAACACGGTAGAGGAAGCTCACTTGGGTAGATTTTTGGTGGAACATGGTAGAGGGAGCTCACTCGGGTGGATTTGTGGTGGAACACTGTAGAGGGAGCTCACTTGGGTGGATTTGTGGTGGAACACGCTAGAGAGAGCTCACTTGGGTGGATTTGTGGTGGAACACGGTAGAGGAAGCTCACTCGGGTGGATTTGTGGTGGAACATGGTAGAGGGAGCTCACTCGGGTGGATTTTAGATGGAACATGGTAGAGGGAGCTCATTTAGGTGGATTTGTGATGGAACATGGTGGAGGGAGCTCACTTGGGTGGATTTTTGGTGGAACATGGTAGAGGGAGCTCACTCGGGAGGATTTTTGGTGGAACATGGTAGAGGGAGCTCACTCGGGTGGAGTTTAGGTGGAGCACGGTAGAGGAAGCTCACTCGGGTGGATTTGTGGTGGAACACGGTAGAGGAAGCTCACTCGGGTGGATTTGTGGTGGAACACGGTAGAGGAAGCTCACTCGGGTGGATTTTTGGTGAAAATGGTAGAGGGAGCTCACTCGGGTGGATTTTTGGTGGAACATGGTAGAGGGAGCTCACTCGGGTGGATTTTTGGTGGAACATGGTAGAGGGAGCTCACTCGGGTGGATTTTTGGTGGAACATGGTAGAGGGAGCTTACTTGGGTGGATTTTTGGTGGAATATGGTAGAGGGAGCTCACTTGGGTGGATTTTTGGTGGAACATGGTAGAGGGAGCTCACTCGGGTGGCTTCTCACATGGGGACATGAAAAAGCATGCTGGGATATATGGCTTTTTAGGTGTACACGAAGGGCCCCTTTCTGTAGAGCGTATCATTTTGGGACTTTTCTGATTAACAGCAACTGAGCGATTGTCACGTTCACCAATGAAACATTTCCCGCACTCTGGTCAGGAATGAGAACCCTTGCCAGCGTGTCTTTTCCGGTGTGCATGAAGGTTTTTTCTACTCTTGTAACATTTCCCACACTCTGGGCATGAAAAAGGACGCTCCCTCGTGTGACTGCTCCAGTGTATAACAAGTTCATTTTTCCGTATGAAGCACTTCCCGCACTCTGAACAAGAAAAGGGGCGTTCCCCTGTGTGCGTTCTTAGGTGTTCAAGAAGATGTGTATTCTGTAGGTAACTTTTCCCACACTCCGAACAGGTGTAAGGTCGCTCACCTGTGTGAATCCTCTGGTGTCTATGAAGTTTTCCTTTCTGTGTGAAACTCTTCCCGCACTCTGAACATGAAAAAGGCCGCTCACCCGTGTGAATTCTCTGGTGTATGCAAAGTTTTCCTTTCTCTGTGAAACCTTTCCCACACTCTGAACAGGAAAAAGGATATTCACCTGTGTGACTGCTCAGGTGTACTGCAAGTTCATTTTTCTGACTGAAAGATTTCCCGCACTCCGGACAGGAGAATGGCTTTTCACCAGTGTGTGTTCTCATGTGGCTATTTAAGCGTTTTTTTTGTGAGAAACATTTTCCGCACTCTGGACATGAAAACGGCTTCTCGCCGGTGTGACTTCTCAGGTGTATGACAAGATCTGACTTTATGATGAATGATTTCAGGCACTGGGGGCATGAATAGGGCCTCTCCCCAGTGTGAATTCTCTGGTGTACGGTAAGATTGCCTCTCTGGATGAAGCGTTTCCCGCACTCTGAACAGGAATACGGCTTCTCCCCTGTGTGGGTTCTCATGTGTTTGGTGAGTGCCCCTTTCTGTACAAACCCCTTCCCGCACTCTTTACATGTATGCAGTCTTTCCCATGTGTGGGTTTTCAGGTGGGCCATGAGCCTTTCTTTCTGCAAAAAACATTTCCCACACTCTTCACATGGAAAAGTCTCACCCATGGGAGCTCTCACATGTCTCTGCAGATCCTTTTTCTGTTTAAAGCTTTGACCCCACTCCGAGCACAAATAAGACCTTTCTTCTGGAGAGAATGCTGGGACTCCTTTATCTTCTTCATGATCTGCAGATGGAATCTGGGGCCCCTCTGAGGAATTCCCAACATCACATCCATCTGTTAGAAAGAAACATTGTATCAGCATCAAAAGAATTTTCATTGTTCAAGCTGTGGATGTTGGTCTAGTAGGCAACAGTGTAATATGTATCTGAGGGATGGAGATGGACCTTCCATATGGTGTCCAGTATCTCCTCCTCATTTGTTGGGAACATGACGTTATATTGAGGAATGGAGATGGACCTTTCATATGGTGTCCAGTATCTCCTCCTCATTTGTTAGGAACATGACGTTATATTGAGGAATGGAGATGGACCTTTAATATAGTGTCCAGTATCTCCTCCTCATTTGTTGGGACATGACGTTATATTGAGGGATGGAGATTGACCTTTCATATGGTGTCCAGTATCTCCTCCTCATTTATTGGGAACGTGACGTTATATTGAGGAATGAAGATGAACCTTCCATATGGTGTCCAGTATCTCCTCCTCATTGGTTGGGAACATGACGTTACATTGAGGGATGGAGATGGACCTTTCATATGGTGTCCAGTATCTCCTCCTCATTTGTTGGGATTATGGTCTTATATATACACACCATCCTAAAATGACAAAGATAAACAAGGAATGAAATTTAAGTATAGTACTCCTCTTACCCGGTGATGTGAGGGGCAGCAGATTTTCTATCCTGGCATCGTTGTATAGATCCTTGTGTCCTTCTAAATACTCCATCACTCCATACTCCTCATCCTCCACTTTATACTCTTCTTTAACAACAATATTAAAATTCTCATGGTTTCCACTCTGAAAATATAAAACATTCATTGTAACAAACATACTTGTGTATAAAGCACAACTACTGGTGATTGTTGCTCATCTACCTGATGGTGAGGGATGGTGTGACCTTCCTGTGTGGAATCCCGGGAATACAGAGGACAGGGACATCTCTCTGGTGGGTTCCCATGACTGGATCCATCTGTAGGAAATACACACACTGACTGAATCCATTGTTTCTATGTGTTTATCAGATGATGGGGGATCTAGGTGGAGCCTCCATACTGCTCTCTCCTTTCCAATAAAGTCTCCTCTTACCCGGTGATGTGAGGGGCGGCTGATTGTCCATCATGACGTCCTTGTAGAGGTCCTTGTGTCCTTCTAAATACTCCCACTCCTCCATGGAGAAATAGACAGTGACACCCTGACACCTTATAGGAACCTGACACACACAATGATACAGTCACCATCCAGACACATCCCTTGTCTGTTACTGGAGAATGTCCCAGAATTCCCAGCACCGCTCACCTCTCCTGTCAGCAGATGGACCATCATGGTGGTCAGTTCCAGGATCTTCTGCTCTTTGTTCCTCTCAGGTATGGGAGAACGAGGGGGAGGCACCATGGTGGGGCTCTGGGTCCTGCTCCATCCTCCTGAGATTGGCTCCCTACTAGACTTCTTCACTACAACATAATCCTACAGATCAGGAGAAAGAGAAACCGATATCAATCATCTGACATCATCTACATGTCTACAAGAAGAACATGGTCTATTGGCCAGACTAGACCAGAGTGATGTCATGTGACCTCCCAGAATCCTCCTCACCTCTCCGGTCAGGTCTGTGTGATGTCATGTGACCTCCCAGAATCTTCCTCACCTCTCCGGTCAGGTCTGTGTTTTATTAATAGAGATAAGAGTGATGTCATGTGGCCTCCCAGAATCCTCCTCACCTCTCCGGTCAGGTCTGTGTGATGTCATGTGACCTCCCAAAATCCTCCTCACCTCTCCGGTCAGGTCTGTTGTATTAATAGAGATAAGAGGGATGTCATGTGGCCTCCAAGAATCCTCCTCCCCTCTCTGGCCAGGTCTGTGGGATGTCATGTGACCTCCCAGAATCCTCCTCACCTCTCCGGTCAGGTCTGTGTTTTATTAATAGATAAGAGTGATGTCATGTGACCTCCCAGAATCCTCCTCACCTCTCCTGTCAGCAGGTAGATGATCTCCAGGGTGAGGTTTAATATGTTCTCCATGCTGTGACTCCAGTCCTTGTCCATCATCATTGAGGTGGTCATGTCATCTATACAGGATGCTCCTCTTTGAAGGCTACAAACTGAAATTTTTATATCAATTTAAAATCTCAGAATTTCAGAATAAAGAGAAAGTCCCTGGAGTGCCGAGCGTGGTCCATACTCTGATTTCACACAGAATACCAATGGTTGTGTAAACTCTACAAAGTCCTCCATCTCGGGACTCTCCTACTGCCGCATTACATCATCTCCATCAGGCGAAAGGATTATCACTACCAGCCGAGTTCTCAATGATAAAATTAAACATTGAGAATCCTTGTAATACTAATACCAAGAGACTTCATTGAACCCTTTGTGTTCCTATCCAGCAGTCATAGGAAATATTACGAGCTCTGTTTTGGAAAGATTGAGTTTGGGGAAGTGGTGAGACATCCAGACTGACATGTCAGATAGTAAGGTAGTTATGGGTGAGGAATCTGAAGGGTAAGTCAAGGAGTGGAGAGATAGATTTGGGTGTCTTCAGCATAGAGGTGGTATTTGAAGCCGTGGCTGACCATCCCAGGAGGAGGTGTAGACAGAGAATGAAACACATCCAAGGACAGAGCATTGGGGAACCCTTCTGAAGTCCTGGCCACCTCCAACCTCAACTGACCTCCTCCAAAACTAGTCTCAGCTACCCCATCCCACCTCAGACATTAACCCAAGACGTATACAATGCGGCAAGCTTACCGGATGACCGGGAACCCTCAACACAGCTTGGACGGTAAGCGTGTTGGATGGTTGATGTGTCCTGATTGACACGGTGATGGTTAACTTCTTCAGTCATAAGTAGTGATGTCACACATGGCCTCCTCCATGTAGTTACACAACGGCGGATTCAGACGAGTCTTCTTTATATCGTTTCCAGGTTCCAGACGCTCAGTAAATTGGCTCCCGGAGCTGGTAGATCCACAGAACACCGATAAACCCAGACGTAGTACGTAGGGCGTGTATTGGTGGGTTCCAAAACTGGGTCTAACTCAACGTATTGATTATGTAATAAATGTCAATACGTGTATTTGGAATGGAAGGAGATATAATTATGAATTTATATAGTGTGATATTATTATGTTTCCACATTAGTACCTCCTTGTCTGTCCCAGGAACGTCTCCTGTCTACTTCCTCCCAACTCGCCTCTCACTGGAAATTACCATTTATACCTGACACCACTTCCTGTCTGTACGGGGTCATAGAGACTTCTTGTGTGTGTGCCTCTCAATATAAGGGAGACCGCCACCTGGTGGAGATGATAGGGACTACCGTCCTTGACGGTCCCCATGACAATTCAGTTAACCCCTTAAGTGTCTCGACCTTAATCTTCCCGATATCCAATTGAGTCCCAGAGCATTTTTTTCTTCTTACTTATAAATCTTTTTTTATTGGGATTTTGAGAGATTTAGGGTTGCTACATACTCCGAATGACGCAGCCCACGCAAGGGAGGCCACTGGTGACAACGTACAATCTACAACAAAAGGAAAGACAATGTGAAACACAACTTGGTGGTCCACAGCAAAAATGTCAAAGAGATCACAGCATCTCCCCAGAAGACAGGGAACCCGCTCCCGGCCTCGTTATGATGTACCCAGTTGAGAGGACCAAAGATGAATTCCAGACATTCAGCAACTTTGCAAAAGAGGTAAGTCCAATTAGGCGGAGTATTTACCACAAGGCAAACAAGGCACTTGCCTAGGGCAGCATTTTTCAGGGGTGCAGCACCTCCCCCAGAAGAAGGGATGAAAGAAAGGACACACACACCTTGGGAACCAGGTGGGATCCGAGAGAGGCTGCGGGCTGCTTGATGGTGTATGTTGAGCCTGACTCTCGTTTCCGGGGATGTCTGGAGCTGTGAAGAGTAGTGTCTCTCTATCACCGGGTGGGGGGTAGTGGAAGACTCTCTTGGGTGGGAGGCAGGGGTGTTGTTGGTCAATGTCAGGCTTTCCCTGTGGGTGGGGGAAGGGGGGTTGTGTTGGTCGGTGTCCATGGGGGCAGACGATTTTTGTGTTGCCTAGGGCATACACCACTGGGCGCACATCACCTCTGGGACTCATCTCTATTACTTATATGAGAGGAGAGAAGAACAAACAGCAGCTATGCCCATCCCTCCCTTCTGCTGTCTATTCACAGAAGTCTTTGTATTTCGTGAACAACTTCACATAAAACACAGGCTTCTGTGAATGGGCAGAAGGAGGGGAGGGGTGGGTATAGCAGTCCAGTGAATATGCTGTTGAAGAAACTGTGACCACAGTGAGCAGCATTGGAGCTCCAGAAGTTCCTGGAGCACAGTAAACCTGTCAGATGTGAATAATAGAGATGAGTTTACAAGGCGGCGGGAACCTCGTTAGACTGAATTCACGGCATGCCTACAGTTTTTACAAAGTAGCTGAATTCCTGAAGTTCGGATTAAAGGGGCTGGATCCATAGTCATTGATGGCTCCTCTAGCCACCTCACCTAGACTTTGGTGAATTTCCTCCACCCCTGTCTTCGTATGTGTCTTGATATTGAGGAAGGTCAGAGATTACCAAACATTTCCAAAATGAGATATTAGGGGGCGCCCTAAGTCATGGTGATGGTCTTCCAGGCATAAAAGAGCAGTAGGCCTAGAAGTGTCCTTTGAGGAGTAATAGATGTCCTGTCTTCTACTAGACCCAGTAAGCAGATTTTCGGTGTTGGGAGTAAGGTGGGCCAAAGGCTCTTTATTTACAAAGTCTACTATTTCCTTCCAGAATACAGAAAAGTAAGGGCAGGTCTATGGAAAGAGTCCCCATCAAGGTGACCTCAACACCAACAGGCAGAAGATAGGGCAAGGTTCAATTTGTGAAGCCTATGGGGAGTGTAGTACGCTCTATGAATAATTTTGAACCGTGTCCCCCTGTCTCTGATAGGTACCATCTGTTTGAAGGGCCCAAATTCCTGTCCGGTCCTCATCAATTGTATCTGGTATGTCAATGTTGACATTTACTTTGGAGATTGGTTAGGGCAGAAAGAGGAGTTGAGGTGACACGTTGACAGAAATACGAGGCTGGTTTCAGTAGCTGGTTGGTATGTAAGTTTTCATGGTGAACAGCCAAAAAAAAGCAATTAAATGTCCTGAGCTTTCGGAAGAGAACACACAAAGTTCTATTGACCAGACTGAGGTAGTCTTCAATAATGAAGTGTGCTGATCAGAGGAGCGTGAACTTTTAGGTGTCCAGCCAGGCGGATATGGCACCTAGGGCATCAAAGAACCTAGTCGTCTTTTCCTCCAGCCGGCTGGGACAGATGAGGATATATTTGATGTCTTTACCTTGAAGACTCTTCTGAACCTCAGTGAAGGATCTCCTGAACCTGTTGTATCCATAACTGCGGAAGAGCGAGATCTTGGCATTTTGGAAAACAAGACCTGGGCATGTTCTGGCAGTGGCTAGGATCAAGTTCCAATATCGATAGTTTAGTAACTGGATGAGGAAGGGTCTTGGGATCGGTGGTGTTGGGGGAATACAATACGCTCTACCACAAAGGTTGATGGAATATCTATAATGTCCAGCAGGGTAGTTAGGAAGGTCTCCATGAATTCAGCAGGAAAAGAGCCTTCTGCCCATTTCCATTTTGGAAAATAAGACATGGGCAGGTTCTGGCAGTGGCTAGGATCAAGTCCCAATCTCGATAGTTTAGTAACTGGATGAGGAAGGGTCTTGGGATTGGTGGAGTTGGGGAATATGATACACTCTACCATGAAGGTTGATGAAAGATCTATAATGTCCAGCATGGGTAGTTAGGAAGGTCTCCACAGGGTAGAATTCAGCAGGAAAAGGGCCTTCTGCCCATTCCCATTTCGGAAAACAAGACCTGGGAAGGTTCTGGCAGTGGGTAGGATCAAGTTCCAATATCGATAGTTTAGTAACTGGATGAGGAAGGGTCTTGGGATCGGTGGTGTTGGGGGAATACGATATGCTCTACCACGAAGGTTGATGGAAGATCTATAATGTCCAGCAGGGTAGTTAGGAAGGTCTCAGCAGGAAAAAGGCCTTCTGTCCATTTCCGATATGCCCAGCAAAGAAGATTAAAGAGCCTTTACTTGACATTGCAAAGCCGTAGCTCAGTAGAGTCAGTTCTAACGACACCTTCCACCTGAGAAATGTGGCCTTCCGCTTCAGTGAGACATGTCCTGAATTTGTCCGTGTCCAATCTAATACAGCTGATCTCATTGGAGAGAGAGATCTTCTCCCTCAGTGTTTCTTTGAAGGTACGGATGGCTGCTAGAATATCCAGATGTTTTGGCTTCCTCTCCTTCCTCTGTAATGTTGTCTGTGTAGATGTAGACATCCTCCCGTACAGTTGGTGTCGCCAAGATGGCCGCCACTGGGTAGGCGTGGGTAGAAGTCACTGGAATTCGGGTGGGTTCAGCTTGCTAGGCAACATGATGAACGTGTGGAGTTGGTGCCCAGGCTACAGGAACAGGATCGCCAATAGAGTGTCCCAGCCTGTAGTAGGGTAAAGTCAGGCTGATAGCGGGAGTGGAGCTCAACAGCCATGCATTCGCTCGGTGTCACATCCCGGCCACGCCCCCTTGTGTTTTTTATTAGAAGTGGAAGAAAATGTATATTTTCTAGGTAAGTTTTCCCGCACTCTGAACAGGTTCAAGGCCTCTCACCCTTGTGAGTTCTCTCGTGTACGTGAAGTTTTCCTTTATGAGAGAAACCTTTCCCGCACACTGAACATGAAAAAGGATAGTCCCCCGTGTGAACGCTCAGGTGCATAACAAATTCACTTTTCCGGCTGAAGGATTTCCTGCACTCTGGACAGGAGAACGGCTTCTCTCCAGTGTGTGTTTTCATGTGATTAGTTAGGTTCCCGTGTCGTGTGAAACCCTTCCCGCACTCTGGGCATGGAAACGGCATCTCACCGGTGTGACTTCTCTGGTGGATGATAAGTTCTGATTTTACTGTGAAGGCTTTCTGGCATTGGGAGCAGGAAAAGGGCCTCTCCCCAGTGTGACTTCTCTGGTGTATAATAAGACGGGATTTACTGACACACAATAAGCCGCACTCCGAGCATGAAAAGATCTCCTTGCCGGCGTGGGCTCTCTGGTGTATGGTGAGCTCAGTTTGGGTATCAAAAGAAATCCCGCACTCCGAACATGAATTGGAACTCTTGACTATGTGGGTTCTCTGATGGCTGCAAAGACTGCCTTTCTGATTGAAGCACTGGCCGCAGTCTGGACAGGAATGGGGACTGCCATCTGTGTGCGTTTTCAGGTGTCTGACCAGTCTATATTTCCGCAAGAAACTTTTCCCGCACTCTGTACAAGTATGCAGCTTTTCCCCGGTGTGGTTTCTCAGGTGTTCTGTGAGTCTATCACTCCGCGAAAAACATTTCCCGCACTCTTTACAAGGAAAAGTCTCACCGGTGTGAACTCTCACGTGTCTTCGCAGATTACTTTTCCGCTTAAAACTTTGACCGCACTCCGGGCACAAATAAGTCTTCACTCTCCGAGGTTTTGGGATGAATTCATCATCTTCTCCGTCATAATCTGCAGATGAATTATGGGACCCCTCTGAGGAAATCCCAACATCACATCCATCTGTCAGAGAGAAATAATATTATTTACCTTATTTGCAGTCATTGTGGATGTCAGTCTAGTAGTCACCGGTGTACCATAGATCTAAGGGATGGAGATGGACCTTCCATATGGTGTCCAGTATCTCCTCGTTTGTCGGGAACGTGACGTTATTTTGAGGAATGGAGGTGGACCTTCCATATGGTGTCCATATCTCCTCCTCATTTGTTGGGACCATGACGTTATATTGAGGAATGGAGATGGACCTTCCATATGGTGTCCAGCATCTCCTCATTGGTTGGGAACGTGACGTTAAATTGAGGAATGGAGGTGGACCTTCCATATGGTGTCCAGTATCTCCTCTTCATGGGTGGGCATGTGACGTTATATTGAGGAATGGAGGTGGACCTTCCATATGGTGTCCAGCATCTCCTCCTCATTGGTTGGGAACATGACGTTATATTGAGGAATGGAGATGGACCTTTCATATGGTATCCAGTATCTTCTCATTTGTTGGGAACATGACGTTATATTGAGGAATGGAGATGGAACTTTCATATGGTGTCCAGTATCTCCTCCTCATTTGTTGGGAACATGACGTTATATTGAGGAATGGAGATGGACCTTCCATATGATGTCCAGTATCTCTTCCTCATTTGTTGGAAACATGACGTTATATTGAGGAATGGAGATGGACCTTTCATATGGTGTCCAGTATCTCCTCCTCATTTGTTGGGAACATGACGTTATATTGAGGAATGGAGATGGACATTTCATATGGTGTCCAGTATCTCCTCCTCATTTGTTGAGAACATGACGTTATATTGAGGAATGGAGATGGACCTTCCATATGGTGTCCAGTATCTCATCATTTGTTAGATGGGGGATCTAGGAGGACCCTCTGTACTGCTCTCTCCTTTCCATGACGTTATACTGAGGAATGGAGATGGACCTTTCATATGGTATCCAGTATCTTCTCATTTGTTGGGAACATGACGTTATATTGAGGAATGGAGATGGAACTTTCATATGGTGTCCAGTATCTCCTCCTCATTTGTTGGGAACATGACGTTATATTGAGGAATGGAGATGGACCTTCCATATGATGTCCAGTATCTCTTCCTCATTTGTTGGAAACATGACGTTATATTGAGGAATGGAGATGGACCTTTCATATGGTGTCCAGTATCTCCTCCTCATTTGTTGGGAACATGACGTTATATTGAGGAATGGAGATGGACCTTTCATATGGTGTCCAGTATCTCCTCCTATTTGCTGGGAACATGACGTTATACTGAGGAATGGAGATGGACCTTTCATATGGTATCCAGTATCTTCTCATTTGTTGGGAACATGACGTTATATTGAGGAATGGAGATGGAACTTTCATATGGTGTCCAGTATCTCCTCCTCATTTGTTGGGAACATGACGTTATATTGAGGAATGGAGATGGACCTTCCATATGATGTCCAGTATCTCTTCCTCATTTGTTGGAAACATGACGTTATATTGAGGAATGGAGATGGACCTTTCATATGGTGTCCAGTATCTCCTCCTCATTTGTTGGGAACATGACGTTATATTGAGGAATGGAGATGGACCTTTCATATGGTGTCCAGTATCTCCTCCTCATTTGTTGAGAACATGACGTTATATTGAGGAATGGAGATGGACCTTCCATATGGTGTCCAGTATCTCATCATTTGTTAGATGGGGGATCTAGGAGGACCCTCTGTACTGCTCTCTCCTTTCCAATAAAGTCTCCTCTTACCCGGTAATGTGAGGGGCGGCTGATTGTCCATCATGACGTCCTTGTAGAGGTCCTTGTGTCCTTCTAAATACTCCCACTCCTCCATGGAGAAATAGACAGTGACATCCTGACACCTTATAGGAACCTGACACACACAATGATACAGTCACCATCCAGACACATCCCTTGTCTGTTACTGGAGAATGTCCCAGAATTCCCGGCACCGCTCACCTCTCCTGTCAGCAGCTCCATCATCTTCTTGGTGATTTCTAGGATCTTCTGCACATTCTGCTTCTCAGGTAGGAGGGATGGAGGTGGGGGGATGGTAATGTGGTTCTGGCCTCTCCTCCATCTTGTGGAGGGTTGGTGATATCTCCTCGTTGTGTCATGCTCAGTAGAGTATTTCATTGTTACTTCACAGTCCTGGGTTATACAATAGAAATGTAACTCTCCCATCACCCCACACCTCTATGGTCAGGTCTATATTTACTAAGGACTGGTACAAGTCTGATGTTTAAGCAGAGGAGGGACTATGAAGATGAATGCCGTCTGCATTATGGCAAGGGGATTGGGAGGAGGTGTGGAGACCAGTCTACTGCAGGTATATATCAGAGAGCAGACTGTGAAGCATTGCGGAGTATGAAATGGAGAATGGTGTACCATGTGGAGTATGAAAGGCACAGCACAGTGTGAACTGTATGGACTGAACACAATAGGGCACAGAATGGAGGAATGGATTGGTGGGCTCTCATGGGATCAATGTATTATTACATGACTTCACACACGTCTACCTCTATAATGTACATAGTACACAGTGTAATGGGGGGGGGAGGATGCTGGGGGGGAGGGGAGGGGTCGGGGTAACGGGAGTAGAGGTGGGGCAGGACATGAAGGACTTGCTTGGGTAGAGAATAGATGAAGGTTCCCAATACTGGACAGAAGAGAGATCCGTGTATTCTGGGGTCAAGAGAGATAAAAGCAAACCTGTCTAATGGGCAAACCACAAGTTCCTTCATTGTGAATCTGAACAAATCACATCCCAGTGTAGACCAAACATGAACCCTTCATGACACTCACCTCTCCGGTCAGCAGGTTGAGGATCTCCAGGGTGAGCTTCAATATTGTCTCATTCCGGGGAAATTCCTTCTTCTCAATCTTCACAAAACCGAAAATCTGCTGATTGTCCATCATGATGTCCTTGTATAGATCCTTGTGTCCTTCTAAATCTTCCATCACTCCATACTCCTCATCCTCATCTTTATACTCTTCTTTTACAACAATGTTATAATCTCCGAGGTTTCCACTCTAAACATCCAATGAGATTCATTGTAACAAAACATGCTGTGTATAAATCAGAACTATCAGTGATTGTTCCTCATCTACCTGATGATGGTGAGGGATGGTGTGACCTTCCTGTGTGGAATCCCAGGAATACAGAGGACGGGGACATCTCTCTGGTGGGTTCCCATGACTGGATCCATCTACCTGATGACGGTGAGGGATGATGTGACCTTCCTGTGTGGAATCCCAGGAATACAGAGGACGGGGACATCTCTCTGGTGGGTTCCCATGACTGGATCCATCTGTAGGAAACACACACACTGACTGAATCCATTGTTTCTATGTGTTTATCACATGATGGGGGATCTAGGTGGATCCTCTGTACTGCTCTCTCCTTTCCAATAAAGTCTCCTCTTACCCGGTGATGTGAGGGGCGGCTGATTGTCCATCATGACGTCCTTGTAGAGGTCCTTGTGTCCTTCTAAATACTCCCACTCCTCCATGGAGAAATAGACAGTGACACCCTGACACCTTATAGGAACCTGACACACACAATGATACAGTCACCATCCCGACACATCCCTTGTCTGTTACTAGAGAATGTTCCAGAATTCCCGGCACTGCTCACCTCTCCTGTCAGCAGATGGACCATCATGGTGGTCAGTTCCAGGATCTTCTGCTCTTTATTCCTCTCAGGTATCGGACAACAAGGGAGAGGCACCATGGTGGGGCTCTGGGTCCTGCTCCATCCTCCTGAGATTGGCTCCCCACTAGACTTCTTCACTACAACATAATCCTACAGATCAGGAGAAAGAGAAACCGATATCAATCATCTGACATCATCTACATGTCTACAAGAAGAACATGGTCTATTGGCCAGACTAGACCAGAGTGATGTCATGTGACCTCCCAGAATCCTCCTCACCTCTCCGGTCAGGTCTGTGTGATGTCATGTGACCTCCCAGAATCCTCCTCACCTCTCCGGTCAGGTCTGTGTGATGTCATGTGACCTCCCAGAATCCTTCTCACCTCTCCAGTCAGGTCTGTGTGATGTCATGTGACCTCCAAGAATCCTCCTCACCTCTCCGGTCAGGTCTGTGTGATGTCATGTGACCTCCCAGAATTCCCCTTACCTCTCCGGTCAGATCTGTGTGGTCATGTGACCTCCCAGAATCCTCCTCACCTCTCCGGTCAGGTCTGTGTGATGTCATGTGACCTCCCAGAATCCTCCTCACCTCTCCGGTCAGGTCTGTGTGATGTCATGTGACCTCCAAGAATCCTCCTCACCTCTCCGGTCAGGTCTGTGTGATGTCATGTGACCTCCCAGAATTCCCCTCACCTCTCCAGTCAGATCTGTGATGTCATATGACCTCCGAGAATCCTCCTCACCTCTCCGGTCAGGTCTGTGTGATGT